CACTTTCCCTGGAGCCGGGGCCTCGGATGGCTAAGGATTCATAGGTGTGGGTTGCCTGCAACTCAGGCAGAAGATCACTTACCTCCCGTGCTACAGCTTGAGTATGACGGGTGCAGCAATCAAAGAGTAGCCGGATCGGCCGGAAGACCCAAGTCAGAGCATAGATTACCCCAATGGTCAAAACTGTAATCAGTGCTAACAAGGTTCCCCAGGCAATCCACGGCCAAAATTCTCCGCAGGTAGCGAGTCCAAATCGATCAAGAAAGTAAAGTCGCCAGCCCCCGGAGGAACTAAGACTTCCCTTCTGCTGTGGGGTGCTAAACCATGCTGGTCCAATCCAGGACCTGATATCAAAGTGGAAAACTGAGTGACCCCACACATGAGCGAAAGTGTTCGCATCTCCCGCGTGTGGAGCGGAACGCTCACCTTCCTCAGGGGCCATCCTGGGAGGGGCGGTCTCGCCCACAGTCGCGTCTGGAAACATCTCCTCCACCTCATCGGAGGAGTTGGAGGAAAACCACCAGACCCAATCAGCAGGGGGGCCTTGAACGAGCTCCAGGGTCAATGAGAGACCTAGCACTGATAGCCATGGCCCACCCAACATTGTGACACCTGTCCTATTCAAAGCAGTCCCTAGGCTGCAATCACTTGAGCCAGTGAAAGCAGCAACCCAAGCTAACCCTACGTTCTGGCGAACACACGATTAAACACACCACATGAGTCTCAAACAAATGGGCTTGAATTTTGCGTTTCATGTTTCAGGCAGCCTTAAGTTATTTGGCTCTCCTGAGGCATAAATGGTCTTCCCTAATGCCTGGCTTCTCCTCGGGCTTTCTGGTTGACGTGGCGAAGCATGTCGACGAAGCCTTGCTGGCCTTTCAGTGCCTGGGCAGATTGGCAGGTTGGGCCTGGTGGCGTCAGTCTTCAGGAGGTGGATGTGCCAAAGAATTCCTAGACAGGCTCAGCGGCTCACCCTTGTCTTCATTGGCGAATTGTTTGTTTGTCAATCTCGGCTTTGAACAATGGAAGTGACTTCGGTGGCGCGACCCACAAACCGGCACATGCATCAGGGAGGCACGAGACACCTGCAACATCTAGCAGCTAGCAGTCTTGATCTATTCCAAAACGGATGTCAATATATATGCAGAATTTTGTGGCGCATGATGCTGCTGCAATAGCTGAGAAGGGCAGCTGGATAAACATTACATGGGCAGAAGTGGGATTTTCCAGCTAGCAGCTAGGACCGGCGATCGGACTAAGTAGTTTTGGCTAAGAAGAGTGAGGCTCTGACAGTTAGGTTCGTATTCAGGGGTTTTCGCAACTTTTGGTCTCCCATGCCAGGCCTCAGTGAGGGAGCCGGAAGAAGCAAAGGGCTTGTGTTTTGGAAGAATCAATTGCTCCAACGTGGGATGGATTTGGTTTCCAAACAGAGTTCTATGCTCACCCCATGCACCTGAGTTTCATTATCTATCATGGACTTGGCCGAAGACTGCTTGGCCGCCTGCCCATCTCAAGCCCACATTTCAAGAATATTCACAAGGGTTTGCCGGGGTTTGCCGGCGTTGTGATCAATGTTTTGAACGCAGCCAGCACCCCCACTTGTGTATATATATATATATTATATTGACACACAGTTGGTAGTTGGGTGTTCGTTTGTCGCGGTGGCTTTCTTTCTACAGGGTCTTCTGTTCTTTTCGTTTTGTCCTTTTGGGACACTCTCTTGTGGGTATGGCTTAGGGCCATAGGGTGTGTCCCGTTACAAGTCGGTTTCCACACTCATCATTTTGGGTATGGCTAGGTCTAACACTCAGCCTACTAACCCTCCCACTCTTTACCGGACATTTATAGACTACGACACCCCCTGGCGGCAGATGCTTAAGCATCTTCGGCCGCCCAGTTAGAAGTGAGAGATTGACCCACAGGAGCTTGAACCGAAGGAAGATAAGGAAGTGGATGGCATGGCCCCTTTCCTTCGGACCATTTCCCTCGACCCGCTGGTGCACGGGTGACACCGCCGCATCGCGTCCGTTGCCCTTCGACGGAGGCACCGCATGTGGCAACCCAGCGAGACAGGGAAGTTCGGGTTGGGGTTGAAGGGTTTGAAGAGGGTGAAGTGGAACACTGGGAAGATGGAAAATCTCACATGACCTCGGATGATCTAATCCTTCAATCCAACTTGTAAGGCAAATTTTCAGGACAACCCCATGCCATCTCCTTTTTTTGAGCTCCAGAATCTGAGAGTCTTTGTTCATCTTGGGAGCAATTCTTTGTCCAAGGCTCAAGGCAGGGTGTCGCTGGAATTGATCTCTTTTCAAGTCGCGGAGGCTTGACAAACAGGACATGTGACATAATTTGTGAATTGTGCCTCAAAGTTCAGGCTGCCGTTTGTTCCCCTACGATTCAGCTGATCCGATCGACTTCCAATCGCATTTGCTTAACCACCCCACCCTGGCCGTCCAAAAGGGTGTGCGGGGAACCCAGAGTGCACCACTGAGGGATGCCAAGGGCGAGTGGATCTCTTACTTGCCCACCTTCCTGGTCGCTCAAGAGTGGCGGGAATGGGCCATGACTGAACTTCAGCCACCTGGAAGCCTGGAAGATCCAATCAAAAGGGTGATTCGTTGGGAACGCAGCTGCCACATTATGTAGCTCGAACTTCTTCAAGTTGAGCGAGCTGGTGGTTCATTGGGAACACACCGGTGAATTTGCTGGAGGATGTGCCAAAGTACTCAAATGAACCAGGTTGACCTGTTCTCTCCATGTGTGGGTTTGTGAAACAATATCACTGCCACACTGCCTCAGTGTATGAACTAGACCATGCCATTCGTGGATGGGTGCTGGGATGTGCTGGGCTGCTGTGATCACGAGCGCGGCCTGACCCGACCCACCCTAACGACACTTGACTCGTCCCATTTTCCGCAGACGAACGGAACATCACACGGCGAAGCAATTCATGATCCGATCCTTCGTGGCAACTCCCCTTAAGTATGACTTGGTGGTTCCCAGGCTGGTCCGCATCACCCCGCCATTTGGTCAAGACCAACCATCCGAACCCGGTGCCGTCCATTTGGTCCCGCGGGACACCACCTGGAGCGGATTGAGGCGGATTGAGGCCCCACACCTGGAGCACCGGGAAATGTTGGACCGTCGGCTGCGGTGGATCGCCAATGCGCGAGAAGTGGCCAGGATGGGGTGGATGTGGGGTGGATGTGGATGGTCCGACTGAAGGCCTCGTAGCCCAAATCGGGACATGGCTTTGAGAGGCTTTCGGCTGGTGTGGGGTGGCTTGGGGACTCGTCCCAGGCCGGTGGGGGCCAGCGGCCCGGGCTCGGCTGGTGGCTAGTGCAAGTTTCCGGGTCGGATGGAAGTTATGTGTCTTCCTCGATCAGAGAGGGTTCTTTATGTTCCTGTCAGACCTGCCAAGAAAAATGACGCGGAATTCGTAGCGCAGCACTGTAGAAGAACACCCATCTTCCAAACCGCTGCATCCGGCATCCAGAATGATTCAAGGATGCCAGCTTTGATCTCCATGTTCGATCTTTTCAGAATCTTTCAGATGCCAAAAAGGCAGACGTCCTTTTTCATCCCTGCCCAGGGGGTGGACGACTGCCCTGCCAGCCGTGTGCAAAGTGTACAGCTCTACATCACCCCGAACCGGTTTCACATGGCCAAAAGAACAGCCGCTGCCAGGACTGAGATTATGGAGTTGCGACAAGCGGAGGGCTGGGCCCGGGTCCTCAGTTGGGCCGAGGGCCTTCCGCGGCACGCTGCGGACGCCGCGGACGTCGCGGATGTGCCGAGGGTTTTGGTGGGGCAACAGGATCCCCCAGCTAGGTCAACCAAAGGTACCCCTGATTAACATAGATCCCTCCAAAACCATTGGGTTCTATAGAGCATAGTCTTCAGAGGGTCTGACCGTCAGGGTCTATGTTAGTCTGCGGGGGAGTGTATTCTAGCGCCCGAGTCGAACGCACATGTGCGGACTGTGCCGGGGGGGGGCCCCGGACCGGTCCTGCCTCCACGTCTTCGGTCCCGCTTCCGAAATCGGAGACGAAGTGACAGGCCAGAAGGCCACCATTGAAGTCGACCTTTGACTATATACCGTAAAATGAACTCCATAAAATATATAAAAGCATATAAAAGCATAGTGGTCCCCAAATAGATGACCTTGGCCGTGGCACGGTTTCCGATACATGTGAACAGTGGGGATAAACGAACTTCTATCTAGTTGGGGGATCTATGCATGTATTTACATGTGCCACTAAACCAACCTCAGCAGGCTCCCCCAATTGCACCAGGTTTGCTTGGTCTTTGCCCAGGAGTGTTCTTCCGTGTAAATTTGAATTGGCGGAATTGAAGGCAGGGAAATGAAAGGGAATCAGACGAATTCCTTATTTGGGAATTCGGACATTGGACTTGGGAATGAATTCAACTAGCCCTTGGGATTTGGGACATCGGAGATCGAGAAGGGAACACATATCATACAAACACATAAGGGAACACATATCATACAAAAAATTGGGGGACCTGCATATCACTTTGTCAATCGCTTTGCGACTATCCTTAGCTTTATCCAGAGCACGTTTGTTGGTCATATAGGTTGATACAGTCGGTGACCCACAGTCTCCAACCTTCTGAACTATAAAACTTCTTGAAGTCTCAGGCTGAACATCGATCATGAGTTGATCATGTTGTATGATGTCTCCAATATAGAACACACACATAACACAGACACACATGATACCCTTGTCTTCAGAAGCTTCATGCGTCAAATACAAGGTCTAAACCATGCCTTCAAACCACCCAGAGCTTCATGTCAAAGACTCGAACTTCCACCGAACCTGGGTTTCTGGTTCACCAGTGCCCCTCTCGTCTTTGCGGCAACCCGGTCCCCGGTCCGTCCCACCTGCTGCCGTCACTCAGGATGAAACGGAGGAGCTGTCCTTGCTCTCCGTGTTGCGACAGCAGGTCGGCCGGGAGCTGCGGCTGGTCTATGCGCCTTGGTTTGAGGCGCAGAGGCTCCGAGGAAAGCCGATGAACCAGCCCGGGCTGAAACGGTTTGTAGCGATGTTGGGTCGTTTTCCTTGACTACTTGTGCCAAATGGTATGGACTTAGATAGATCGACTTATGACTTATGGGGACGCCCATTGGATGGTCCTGATGTGTCCTGGTATTTTATTATGCTTATAGATGTGCTTTGGCCATCACAGATTGACGAGGTCTTCATGACTTCATGACGGTTGCGTGGCTGTCTTCCTTGGGAGCGTGGACCTTTTGACTTTCATTCGATGTCACTCGCTACCCAAAGGAGGCTGATTCCTTGTTAAAGTGACGCTTGCCCTGCGAAGACTGGCAGGTGGTAGTTGGTAGAGCTCTTTTGATGTGGACGATTGGGGTCTTCTTTTTCTCCCTTCGAAGCCCGCGCAAGTGGGACAGATGCTGCGTGGCACAGGAAGAAGATAGGAACAGAGGATAGAACAGGAAACACCCTGGAAAACAAGAAGGTGAAACAGTGAGAGTACAAAACCACATCATATTTCATGGCAGAGACTTGTCTGGTTGCGCGTAGAGTGCCCGCGAATCGGCAGGATGATTCATAGCGTCTGATTGAAACAGCATCCCAAATGCAAGGCCCCTATAGCAGCAGCGCTAGGCACAGAGTAGTTGCCTGGGCAATTGTTGCGTGCGACACCACCACGTGGCAAGAAGTCACACAGTCCCCCGAGCAGAGGCTAAGGCTTTCGGAATGCTGCTTGAGCACATCACTGGTCTCATTCATTTGGCAGCCACCGACTCCAGACCTGCAGACGGTGCGGCCAAGTCAAACAAGCCATCACCCGGCCAGTTGGCCGCACAAGCCCTAGCAAGTGGACACGAGCTGGGTCAGACATCCTTTCACACAGAGTTGCTTTGCTTGATCTGCTGGCAGTCCAGAGAGCAGGCTCACCCGCACCGCCCACCGCTGGCTCCAGGATGATAAGCAACTCAGCACCCTTCACTCAGCTAAACCTTTCGCCCCATGCATCAAAACACTCATCAGCAGCATGCTTGGACCTTCCCTGCACATCGGTGTGATTTTGTGTCATTGTCAGAGTCCGCGTCTCCCATAAATCAATGTCCCTTTCGTTAGTAGGGTCCGCCACCAAAAGTGTTTATATATAAAGAGCTGGATGTGCGCGCGATGCTCTTGGTCAGCGTCACAAGAATGCACAGAGAAACAAGAAACACACCAAGAAAGAGACCGTGAGACACTACCCGACCCTTGTCTTTTTCCGAGGGCTGAACTGGAGCACTGCCACTCAGGACAGATGGGAAACTTATCAGCTCCAAGTGAGTTTCGCAGCCAACACTGATATGATTAATGGTTTTTTGATCCAATTCGTCCGAAGTGGCGTGCAGTTCTTGCGGAAGGTCATCCGCCAGCACCTTGTCTCAAGCATACCCTCGATACTCTGGGCTCAAATCGCAACGATCCCAGAGTTGGCTCAAAAAGGGAACATCTGCAGGAAACCAATGAAATCCAATGGTTTCCTGTAGAATGCTTCCCTTAAACCAATCCATTGAAAGTAAAGTTGCCAACGTTAACAATTGTCTTTGGGATTTGAGCTGTTGGAGTGCCTTGAGGGGCGCTGGGGGGTTGTTGGCGCCCGACACCAGTCTGCTTTGCACCAAAACGTTGACGTAAAACATGCCAGCGCCCCCAGACACATTGTAGATGAATGGCCTGTTCAGTGATATTAAATCATGTCCATCAACCACATATGGTTGTGCTGTAGTCTTTTTACATAAGATAGTCTAGCATAATAATACATATATTCTGCTTTGGGTGGTCTTTAGTGCAGGAGAAACTTGAAGAAGGGGAGACGTCAGACCTGCGATCCACCTCGAAGCAAGCAAACAGCAAGAGGAAGCGACGGCATTTTTGCTTCCCCGCAGGGCGGGTACAGAGGAGGCCAATGCCATGTGCGGAAGTTCCTAGGTTTTCCCACGATACAAGCTACACGGCCACAGCTAATTGTACCGGCATACCACATACTATCTTTGGTCGGGGGGGTGTGGTACAGTACACCTTGATCCCTCCAAGACCAGTCGACTGGGGAGGCAATTTGCTGTGAATTCATGCTCAAATGGGAAACATCCTTTCGCATGTATTGCTGTATTATCTTGTATGGTAATATGATCCCACTAACGATCCACTTGCTGTAGCATGCCTAAAATGTTTATAATCATCGGACCGGACCTTTGCACAACGATTCGAACCTTGGCATCTTCGGCCAGCAACCGGTCCCCACCCGTCCGGGGCTCAGGGACCGGATCCATGAGAATGAGTTCATCAAAGTGGTCGAGACGGGCGCCATCATTTCTAAGCCTTGCACCTTCTGCTGCGGCTTGAAGAACTGGCAAGCCCATGCTTTAGATCATAAGGCGCGTTTTGGGCAATGGGGGCGCGAGCGGTGGGCTTTCGCGCACTGCTTTGCACAAAAGACTTAAAGAGTTCGGGGGTTTTGGGGAGAAGGAGTCTCGTGGGTGGCTGGGTTGCGTGCCACCAGTTTGCTTGGCTGGCCTGTGTCAACATGAGAGAGCCACTCAACCACCTCTGGTGACCCCACACTAGATTCTATAGATTCAGATGAATTCTTTGACAGTTGTCAAGCCTGATTCTGTGTATTGGGAGGGCATGGGGCATGGGAGGGCTATAATATGCTATAATATCATCATATATCATCCATAAATTACACAGTATATAACTATATAATCCCTTTTTTCGACGAGTGGTCGGAGCCCCTCCACGGCGCTCAGATTGATGCGTGGCTGGCCGAGATCAACATCTTCGCAGCTTGGAACAATGACTTCGCATTTCACTGGGTGCAAGAATGGCAGCCCAATAGAAGGGAACATTGACCCTAAGGCTCCTCAAGGGCCAAGTATCTATTTTCTCGGTGGCGGTGTGTCCGGTGTTCTTCCACCGCGTCGTTGATCGTCGAGGACCCGCAGTTCCCCGGGAACTTCCGCACCACCTTCTTCACCGTGGCTCGCTGCGGATGGGAGTGCGGGCGGAAGTGTTTGCTTGAAACAGTTCCAGCTTTAGTATTTTTCACACTTGGGAGACTCACCCAAGCTAAAGGCCCTTGTACTGCTTTAGGTACACCTGGTGGGTGCTTCATCCCCCAACCCCCAAGCTCGAGGCCTGCGAGCTCTCACGGTTTTTGGATGGGCCATTCCATTGGATCCAAACACACAATAATAGAGAGAGGAGATGGCCATCATATGATTGACATTGATTACAGTAACCTTAAGGGTTGAGAGTAGATGGCACAATCCCCAAGTTAGGTGGGTTATACGGACGCCCATCTATAGAAGACATATTGGGGTGCCATTTCCCAACCATATGGAACCTCTGAAACCAATGTAAAGCCGAACATCATTTTTTGATCTTTTTTGGATGTTCAGGTCCCCTGAACCGTGTTGAGGTTGATTTAGCATGGAAAATCACTTGCTCCAAGAGCCTGATATCAGGTAGATGATTTTGGTCCAATCGCACACTCGTCAATAACGCTCACCAACCATGATTATCCACTCTCACCTCACCTCCCATGGTCAATTTTTAGTTTTGAAGGGTGTTCTTATGTACCCACGAGTCGTCGGGCTCATGCCGTTACTTACGCAGGACAAGCGCTTGAAGGAATTGGAGGCCGGCAGAGGGGTGCAAGGATTCGGAAGAGCGGCTGGGGGATCGCGGATGGTTGGACTTCGACTGGAAGTGGTGCGACCCAAGAAATCCCGGAAGTGGTTCTGCTGCAAAGCAGCCGGACATAGGCACTCGGAGAAAGGCTTGCGATCAGTACAGGAGGCTTTGTGGACGGGCTTTTGTGTGTATATATATATATATTGGCATGGATACGTATGGTCGGTGCCGCGCACGCAAGACATAGTCCTAAATGGCTAATTGTTATGCTGGGTCCATCGTGGTGGGATAAAGTCGAGTTCCGCAACTGCGCAGGATTCCACAACTAGGATTCCGCAACTTTTGTGAATGATGAGGGGGTTGGCGTGATGTCGAGATCACACGATGGGGACAGGGGGGGGGTTGGGTGGGGGGCTAATGACGTTGGTTTGGATGCGCATGAAGTCACAGGCACACGCTATCGCATGATGTGGACATCACCAGTTGCAGAATACCAGTTTCAGAATGTCAGTTGCAGAATCTGACTTTCCAGTTTCAGAACTCCAGTTTCAGAATACCAGTTGCAGAATCTGACTTTCCAGTCTCAGAATACAAGTTTCAGAATCCCAGTTTCAGAATCCTGTTTCGGAACCCCAGTTTCAGAATCCTAGTTCAGAACCCCAGTTTCA